GGTGGGAAATGAAGAGTTGGCTGGAGTTTCTAAATCCTCTAAAACAGAGAGGTTTGGGGAGTTTTTTTGCTCTCTCCTCCAAATCTCCAATCACAGGGGAGAAGCGAGTGATAGGTACTGAGGAAGTACCTTGAGTGCCAAAGCTGAAGCAAATCTCCACGATGAAGAGGGTCCCGGCTTATCCCAAGCCTGAAGTGAGAGAAGAAACCAAGCAGAACACCTGGTGGCCAACCAGTTTTACCTCACACTTAGGAATAGTGTACAATGTACCTTCCATTTGCCAGTGCCTGCTCTTCTGCCACAGCTTCTGGGATCGCCTTTGCCTGCTGTTGCTGGGGTCCCCATTTCTACCCACCCTCTGCTATCTGCTCTTGCTTGGGACAATATCTCTGGCTACTGCCTGCTGCTGTTCCACGTCCCTGAAGCCCACACTCTGCCTGCTGACACTGGAGCCTGCATCTTGTACTGGCTGCCCCCCACCCCAGTCAGCTCCTAGTACATCTGAGATCTACACATCTGAGTGCTCTGTATATAGCATTTGTCCTCCCATTTTGAGGTAGATTGCACCCCACAGCTATAGTACTGTCTTCTCTCAACGTGATCTCTTGGAATCTCTAGTTCCATTTAGTGCTTAGCTCAGGTGCTACTTTTCAACATTTCCTGATCCTTCTATTGGTTAATGTTCTTGTCTCTTCCCTCTTACCAAAAATAATTAGAAAACAAACAAACAAACAAAAAAGACTTTTCTATTTACTTCATGTATACCTACTTTGTATATGCTTTTCTTTGTACCTTCAATAGAATGTACTCATTTTAAGGGCAGGGACAGTATATGTTTTTGTCTGTGTACTCCCAGGACCCTGTATGGTGTTGGGGTTTTTTCGTTGATAAATACTGTTGAATTGAACAGAAAAATCTGTTCACAAAGTGCAGATATATGATCTTGACTTTACCATTTCAGAAGAGATTAATTTGGTTGACACTGTTTATAGGGTACTTAGCCTCTGGTTCCTTTCCTTCATATCAATCCTGTCTCTGAGGGAGAAGTGGGCTGTCTTTCACAGATGCACAGATGTTTACCTGGGAAGAGAGAGGTGATGGTCTATACCTGCTGAAGAACTAAACCCAAGCATTAATGGAGGCAAACAGTGTCTTTTTTATTTGGTTGGATTTTTATTTGGTTTTTTTCCCCTTTTATAATGTACGCTTTTTGCCTCCTATGTTATTTCTAACTCTGGTTTTGACATTTTTGATCAAGTAGGATGCTGGACAACATTATCTTTATTTTTTTAAGTTATCTTCTTTTTTATTCTTTCTTTCTTTCTTTATTAGGCAATTGAGGTTAAGTGACTTGCCGAGGGTCACACAGCTAGTACGTGTCATGTGTCCGGTCTGAGACTGGATTTAAACTCAGATCCTCCTGACTCCAGGGCCAGTGCTCTGTGCCACCTAGCTGCCACTCAATATTCTCTTTGTTTATAAAATACAGTGGTGTTTCTTTTTCTGTTCTTATGTTATTATAGCTCCTTATTTTACTCTTTACTTCATTTTACTAGCAAAAGCCATGCTGAATTTCTGTTTTTATCTTCCATGGCCCTGCATGTGATATAGCATCTTTGATCCTTTAGCTGCTTTAGTCTTGATACAAATTTCACTTCTTATTATATGTTGCCTTGATGTATTGGAGCCATTTGCTCTGCTGTTAAATCCAATCCAGAGAACCAGACCTGGTTTCACCATACAGATAAGAAATTTGAAGACTTGTTTTTGGAAGGGAACCAATCCAATGAAACACTGGGCAATTAATAATTGGAGGTTTTTGAATACTGGGAATGAGAGTAATAATAGGAGCCAGCTTTAAATAAGTTTTTAAAAAACCATTTGTTCTTTTTTATTCATATAAAATGATACTACTCAAAAAGGATCACAGATTTCAAGAAAATTTGCTTGAGAGCCTTTTCTTTGCTCCTAATACCCCAACTTTTTCTTCCCTATCCATGTTAATCTTCTTGAAAATGTCTGCAACTAATGCTGCCATTTTGATCCTAAACCATCCTTGTCTTGGGTTCTTGGGATCTGGTTTTTCGCCATTCTGCTAAAAGTGTTCTAAGGCTGCCAATAACCTCTTAATCACCTAATACAAACATATTTTTTTCCAACCCACATTTTTCTTGACCTCAATACAGCAAACACCATACATTATGGACAACCATTCCTATTCTTGGCTTATAAGGCACCACAATCTCCTGGGTCTTCTCATGTCATTCTTTCCCTATATAATTTACTCAATCAATCAAATAATCAGTCAACCAACCAACAAGCTTTTATTGAATACTCACCATGTGCCAGGCACTGTGGTTCCTTATCTACACACTGACCTCTTAATATTTTTGTCTGTCTTCTTTCTTTACAGTCTCCCCTTTGGCAATATCATTCATACCTAGGGCTTCAACTGTGACCTAAGCAGTTGACTCCCAAACGTAGCTTTCAATCCCTTACCTCTCTTTGGAGCTCCAGACACCCATTTCCAACTATATTTTCATTTGGATATTCTAAAAGAGCCTAAAAAATCACACTGACAACTGGTTTTATTTTCCCTCTATAAACCTTCTGCCTTTAATCTTTCAATGGCACTCATGTATCTAGATCTCCCATTTTGCAAACCTTTGATTGCTCCTACTCCCCCTCCTAATCAAATTGATAATATTAATCAGGTTGCATGGGGTCCTATTAAAAAGGTTATTTTGAGAGACTTAGCATATTAGCTGTTTCTCTGATTGTTTAGAATGTAAGCATGGGGTCCTATTAAAAAGGTTATTTTGAGAGACTTAGCATATTAGCTGTTTCTCTGATTGTTTAGAATGTAAGCTCCTTATGGATTACTGAGTCTCCTTTTTTATCTTAATACACACAAATTAATTTATCAATGCTTTTCTTTATAAATTTAATCTATTCATCTTTTATTAAAGGGCCTTAGAATTTTTACTTAGAACTGTGAAGTTAGCAGATAGTTTGAATTAGAGTGTTTTTCAAAATATCAAACTTCATATCTTTTTTAAAAAAATATTTCCTTCTCATAGTTTTTGTTCATTCATATTGCCTCCCTTTCTTCCCACCACCACCATATCCAGTTAGTCCAAATTAACAAAGCTTTTTCCATCACAATTTTATGAAAACCTATATATTCTGTGGGATACATCACCTAGGAGTCAAGTTCCTAGACTGACAGCTCTATGACACTATTTCAAAAGGCTGGCTTTACTGGGCTCCTAACTATGCTAATTCACATGGGAATATTACCCAGTTTAAGAGTATAGGCAAACTAGATTATTTTTGAACTCTGGGTTCTGGCAATTCTAATCAATCCAACCCAAGTAAAAGGGGACACTTTGTAAAAGCCTCTTACCATCTTTCTCATCTCTTTGATTCTCTCTCTTTTTTAAAACCTCAAGATGTCTCGCTGCATAGGAATTTCTTTATTAGTTCAGAGTGAAATGAAAAAAAAATTCTTTATCATTACATTCAACTGTTCACAAATAGCCATCATGTATTTAAAGGATGACACAAAAAGGTAGGAAAATAGGATTTTCAGATTATTTAAAAACTTGTAAGATATATTTTTAAATGCCAACAAAATTTGAAAAGGAAGAATGTTTTTAAAGAGTCAAAAGTGAATTTAATAGAGGGATCTACAGGATTTTAACTAAGTGCACCAAAAGTTCTCTCTTAATGTCTCATCCAAATACTTCAACTTAAATTTACTGGTAGCTATTTCAGGGGGAAATGTGGTCTTTGCAATCATTAGCTTGTTATAAAGAAACTTTTTTTTTCTTCTGCAAATGTTTAGAGGGAGGATTAAAGACAATTTATTGCTTGGGTAGAAAGTAATAAAAGTAACAACAATGGAGTGTCTTCTAAATTGTCATCATTTTCTGGAATTACTAACAAGATCAACCCCAGCAGGCTTTTTATGTCCAAAGGAATTGCTTTCATTTGTCATGCTTTAATGTATACTGTATCATTAATCTTCTTGCCACTGATATTGGACTGTATTTGTTTCATTGAATTGTAAAAAGTAAATGTTTCATTCAACTGTATATAAGATGAATTCCTTCATCAGAGCTTTGCCACAGACAGGATTTGAGAAGTATATTTATTATACATTTCTCTCCAATAAATTGGCCTTCTAGAGCTGCATAAAAGGATTTGGTTAAGATGTGAAGTGCCTGACTTTTTTGTTGTTGTTATTTTTCCAGGAACACAGTATGCAGAGTTCTAAAAAGAAAGATGATCTTTTAAACATAAAGTAGCCTCACATACTCATCGATCATTAGAGTATCAAGGTCCAGAATGTTAGAGATTATCTAGTTCAATCCTTACACATGATAGATGAGGAAATTAAGGCCTACAGTGGGTGACTTGGCCAAATTCACACCACTAATCACTCAGCAGCAAGTTAGTTTCTTCTCTTCCCCAATCTAAGGGATACTTTTTTTTTCTATTTCCATAAAGAAAAAAGTATTTCCTAAAAGTATGCATTTGAAAAGGGAATCTTTAAATGAGACTAAAGTGTGCATTTCTTTTTCAATCTCCTTCATTAGCTCATAGATGAGAGACATTCTATGAATCTCTCTGATAAAACATTCCAAGGTTGTTCTTCAGAGAATGAAGTTTTAAAAACAGGTGAAAAGCAAATATTGATTATATTCCAAACACTTCCAGCTTAGCACGATCTTCCTGCACTTTCTCTTTGCTAGCTTGGGCTTACAAAAGGAGAAGTCATTCTCCTGCTTTCATATTGTCTCCAAATGGAGACTTTGGAGTTTGTCTTTATTACTTTTGATAGGAACCATTTTGCAAATTTCCATTGTATCTTTTGGGATACCGGTTAGAAGCCCCTCTCTGAAGCTTTTACTGGTTATAAATTTATCACTTGCTATAGTTGGAATTGTTTATTGTTCTTCAGTTTGTGTTTCAAAATATGTTCTCTCCCTCTTTAGAGTAAAAGAAGCTGAGGAAGTGTGTAGGCAGAAAAAAGAAAAATCTCTGTATAAAATAAAGCCGAAACATGACTCTGGAATTGTAAGTATATAGCATACTCTTTGTTTGTAACCTATGGTTTTCAGAATTTGGTCTTAAAATGCACGTAAGAATACACACACAATTAAACTGGTCTATCATTTCATTATTCTCCCTTTGTGCTGATATCAGTTGTGAGTTTCTTGTTTAGCTCATGCAATTGCTCAGACAAAATGCTGTGCCTAGGCTGGGGTAAGGGTGTTTGGAATCTTCAGACTGAAAAAGAGGATGAGACTATTGAGAGAAGGGAACCCATTTCTCAAACTTTCTCCAGACTTCCCTTTGAAGTTAGAGTAAATGTTACAATTTGATTAGCTTTATTGGGATGGGGAGAAAAATGGGAAATTCCAACTAGTGTTGTCCTTTGCCTGGGGCTGTGAAAACTAAATTCAGAACCAGGAGTGGTATTACAAAGTTGGTTGCTTAACAGATGTCAGATAATGAGCTGAATTTAACCACCCAAGTTAAGATTTTCCTCTTGCCCACTTGATCCATCTAAATAATGTGACAAATTATTATTCAGGGGGAAGGGAGCATTAAGCTTACAAGTTTGCTTCACTAGCAGTGAAGCAAATAATTTGTATAATGTGTATGTTATGGAGTATGCAAACTGATAATTAAATTATTGAAATTTAGATTATGGAAAAGAGATTCATCATAAGGAGTTCTACAGATGATTTTATTTAGGTAACACACTGTATTGATTATATCAAGCCCAAGAACACCACAGATCTTCCTTAATGGGATCCACAACTGCTCAAAAGAGTTTGGTCTAATTTTTAGCACAGGAAAAAGAAAGCAAATGGATAAAGAATGTCTTTTCATCAGACTGTGATATGCAGTTGATTGGACAATCCATTGAGTTAGTGTGTCAGTGAATATACCTTGGACTGACACTGCATATGGACAATGGACTGGACCTAGATTGAACAAGGAACACAGCAAATTAAGCTAAATTTAGAAAATTAGTGCTTTAAACAGTCATAAGCTGTTTTCTAAAACAAAACCTGTATTTTAAAATACTAAATTATATTTTCCTAGGATTACTGTATGGATGCAACACTATGACCTCTGAGAAATCAAAATTATAGGCAACCTCTGTGCCAGGCATGGGGAACCTGTGGCCCCAAGGCCACATTCTGCCTTCTAGGTCCTCAAATGCAGTCCTTTGACCAAATCCACACTTCACAGAGGTGAAGTTGACATATGCCAAAGGAAAGACTTATCACTGGGTGTAGCAAGGTTACAGTAAATTACCAAGGATGATTTGCCTGCAACAAATGGCTTAAAAGAAATCATCCTAGAAATTTATAATCAGGAAAAGGCCTGGAAATAAGAGTAAGGGATAAGAAATGGATAACTCAAGTATTATACTGATACTTATCTAATAATAACATTAGATCTCTCTGTTAAACTCTCTATTACAATGCATAAATTCTTCATGGGAGATTTATGGAGGCATATGAATATGTCATACAGATTGAGACCACGTAGATAAGTTGATATCTCATCATTGTCTTTGTTATTGCACCAGCCTCTGTTGAGCTGGAGGGAGTACTCACATCCATGAGATCACAGATCTATTGAAGTACTGAATTATAAAGTTTGGGAAATGGTTTGATGCCACCAAAGACAGAAGATACTAAATGAGTCCTTGGTTTATATTTCTAAATGTGAAGCACTTTGGCAATTGAGTTTTGCCAGCATTGTCTACAAAGACAAGTTATTACAATAACCTAAAATGGAATAGGATTAGAAAGGGGGGAAATGATATGATTAGGAACCATATTTTACTTACTAACACTGTTTTCCTTCCTATTCCTACAAATCATAGTTCATTTAATTTGGATCAGGTTTCAAATTTCAGCTTGAAATGTATTGTGCAGACAGCCTCTTTTCAGTACTTTCTTTCTTTAATTGAAATATATGTTTAAAAGGTCATAAGTGAAGGGGAACATTGACTAATTTGTTAACTCTAGTCACATTTCTCTAAGACTGGTGGAGAAACATGGTACATAAAATTGGAGGAGAGTCTGGTTGACTTGGGGGCAGAAGCGTATGTTGGTGAAAACATCTTTTCTACACAATCCAAAGCTGAACATTAGAAGCACTTACCCTATAGTTTATCTAAGTTTAATGAAAACACTGAAAAAAAGCTTGCTCGTGAAAGGCATGTAGTATCTTCCTTAGAATCTACTCTAAGTAGAAAAGTTATATTTAGTAATATTGGAGAATTGATAACCATTAAACTTCTTGGAAATATTGTTGGCTAACTTTGTTTCCTATCTTGTCTGTTTGTTTTCAGAAAGCAAAGATAAGCATGAAAATCTGATCACCAAAAGTCAGATGGATATATCATTGCCACTAGATCAACAAAGTTCAATATATTTAGGGGGGAAAGGAAACTACATCATTTGGATAATTGTTTTTTTCATCTTTACCCAAGTCTAGTTTCTGTTTTCTTGACTGATTCACTGATCAATTCCACTGTACTGTGCACAAATTAAATATAAAAATAAAATAATTAAATTTATTGACCCAGAAAATAAACTACTTTTTACATTAAAAAAACTTGTTACATGCCATATGTCCTCATTTTGCGGCAATCATTTGTTTAATTTTATTTGAGCTGAATTCCTAAAATTTTGACAAGTATTATCTAATTCTTTATTATAAAGCAACCATTTTGTCACATTGATTTTTAAGTGTATATTTGACTAACAGTCAGGTTTTTTTTTTCTTGATCATTGCCTAAAAGTTTTAAATAGATTTAGCTCAGACAATTTTCCAGGATAGTGACATTTTTTTGGATACATTTCCTATCCTTTCATGATATGTTATCATTCAAAGCAATGGTTAAATATTCCATCTCCATTTAGTAATTCCTATAATTCTAGAACAATCCTGTTTCTTAGTATATCAAGATATTTGTCGGAATTCATCATTCCATTAATAGGCACAGACTTCTAGGTTCTCTGGAAGATTAAAAAAAAGTCTCCAAAATATTCTTCACAGGCAGATGTTTTACAGTCTGATAAAGATTTCCAGATCTTACAAACTCACATGGACTTATTTTAGAACTGTTTTTGGAATTTTGAAAGGGAAAAAACAAACAAACATAGTTTTGTCAACAAAAAATAACTTTTCCCAATCTTTGGTACTATAGTCTTTGCATTTTCTTACCCATTATAAGCATTATTTATTCATAACAATGGTTAGCATCTGATTTTTAACTTGTTTTTTCATTGTTCTTCCAATTTTAAGAAGCCTGTACACATTATAGAGGAATCAATAGCAAATGCTCCAACTGGCAACCCCTCTCCCCCAAGGTCTTTGCTCATGTTTGAGGATTAATTAGGTTGTTATACAGCAGCAGTTTATCAGTTTGGGGTGTCTGGGTGTTTTTTTTTTTAACCACATTTCACTTTGCACATTGGTGTAACTGATATTTAATTTGGGGCTTGAATTATCCTTGATTTTCCCATGTCAAAAGCTACTATTGTATCCCTAACAGTAATTAAAGCGTGCACTTTAAAAGTTACAACTTTTGCACATTTTCTCAAAGTAATATCCATTCTTAAAAAACCACTGGATTTTTAAAAAAAAGTAAGAGAGAGCAATAAAACATGAATGGCATGAAATCTAGCACTTAAATGACAGAAATCTGACTAAATACAAGGAAATCAGCTCAATCCATTTTCATCTGGCTAAAGACTAATGGTCTAAGTCAGCTTGATGTCATTATTTGCACATAACACAACAGCTATTAACTGTTCCAAAATGAAACTAGATCAAAATTATTATTTTCCCAAAGTAATTCACATACCACACCACAATACATTCAAAATCAACAGCAAAAGTGACCCACCCAGAAGTAGACTAGCAGGAATACTTTTCATTTTATTGTATCACATATTTTATTTTATTTTATTTTATTTTATTTTATTTTATGTTTAAGCCTATGGAATAGTACCAAAAGAACATAAAAGAACACACATGGAGCAGCATCTACAAAGATTCTGAAACTAGTAAAACTTAAACTTGGGTTTAAACCTCAGATATCTGTGATATGAGTTAATGTTTCCATTTCCAGTAGCAACTAGACTCTACCACACTGCACTTAGATTTAGAAAGGAAAATGTTATTCCTAGTAAATTATTTGCATCAATAACATGTCCATGTATTTTGTATTTTAAATATTTAAGTGCTGTCTACCCAGTATAATCAATGCTTTCCCAACTCTTTGGTTGCTCTCCATACCCAAATAATTGTGAAGAAGATGATTATGGGTATTTTTTTTCCACTTGCTACATTATTCCAGATACTGAAAAAGAAACTGTTCTTAGCAATTAACAGGAAAACAAAGGAATTCTCATTTTAATGAAGATATTTTTAATCTAGTTTTATATTTTCCATCCTAAATGAAACTAATGATTTTCTTAGGTACAGTCATTTAGAAGCAGTAACCTATCCTCCTCATTACTACTTCACATACCCTCTCAAAGGACCATTTATCAGTATTTGGAAGGAATTAAAACGCTTGATGCCCACAGACTTTTAGCTTGTGGCAAGAACTGGAATAAAATCAGCCCCTGATTGAATTGCAACCTACTTCCATTTTCTTATTTGTGACCTGCCAGGATATTTGGGCAATACTAAGAGGAATCATAAATGTCCTTGGCTCTCTCTGAATTAATAATATGCCAGGATAATTTAAAAGATGCAAAATGAGAATGTGGTTATATTTGCTATCTAATAGATTATTTTAAAAAACTTTTCTTGTTTGCTTTTGTTTCTTTTCTTCTAGCTGAGAAGGAAAAATTAATAGGCTTCAAAATGTGTTATGGTGGCAGTAGGCCTACCCAAGGGTGATTCCTTATGGAAAAAAAAAAAGCAGTATGTAATCATATTAGTGTTTTTTGGTAAAGGGGTATCAGTTTTGCTATTTTGAACCAGCTATGGAAAGCAATTAAAAACAATAGGCTACTTCAATGGCACTGATTCATAATCATGTTTGTATTTATGTAAAGTATAGACTGATGTTCCTATATTTGAGATTTATTTTAAGTGTAAAGATAGTTTGTTTATTTTATAGCCTTCCTGTTTCCCTCAGCTATTTGTATATTACCATACTACAGTAAAGTAAATAATAGGACATTTAACAAGATCACTATGTGCAATACTGTATTTAGTGTTTCTATTTCAATTTTTCTAGAATGTTAATTTATATGAAAATAAAATGAATAATAAAATTGTTTTCTTATGTTACATGTGTTGCCTAAGAATATCTTTAAAATCTCTAGTCTTATTTTTTATCCAGGAAAAAATGAGAAATAAGATCTTTTATCTACTATTTTTAGAAGGAACAGGAAAGTTGAATTTCTTTTGCCTTGAGGGCACAAATCCTGTGGACAGTCCCTGCCCTCAAAAAGCATATGTTGTACTAGGGGACACAAGATGTTCGCAGATCAAGTGTACATCCCAAAAAGAAAACCCACATAGTGGTAGAGTGGGAGGATACCAACTACTAGGAGAATTAAGAAAGTCCTCTTGATGGAGGTGACTAAACTATGAAAGAAATGTGGGATTCTATGTGGCAGAGGTGTGGAAGAAGGTGTACCGTTTGTCACTAGATGACTGGTAGGAACTGGAAACATAGTATGGGGAATCTGGTCTACCTCTTCTCTCTAATATCACAAAAAAGTCTGAGAGGGAGAGGAGAGGAAGGCAGAAGAAGAGAGAATCTATCTAGATCTGGTAGCTTTAAAGATCCAGGCAGTTCTTGACATGCAGTCAATGGAAAGAAGTTGCTCCTATTTATATGGTAAGGGAACACAGAATGTCTTCGCCCAGAAGCAGGTCTCTGGCATCTCCCACATGGTTGTCTCCATCTTAAGTGATCTGGGCATACACCAAAGCCTGATTATACCCATTAGATTAAACAGGACTCAAAATAATAACAAAATGTACTTGGGAAAACAAAATATCTAGATAGACTATCAAGGGAAATTAGGGGAAAGATGGTGGGAGAGGATAGTACTTCCAGACCTCAAATTATATTGTAAAGCAGCAGTCATCAAAGTAATTTGGTACTGACTAAAAAATAGAGAGGTAGAATGTAACAGAGCAAATAAGGGAGAATCAGAAACAGTGGGACTTAATAGCAAAGTATTAGATAAAATGTGAAATATAGATTACTTAGGAAAGAATTCCTTATTTGACTTCAAAAAAACTGCTTGGAAAACTATTCAGCAGTCTGGGAAAAATTAGTCTTAGACCAAAATTTTATAGCATATTAACAAGATAGTCTAAACAGATACAGTAGTAAAGAACATACCATAAAAAATTAGAAGAGAACATATAATTTTCATAACTATGAGTAGATGTATTTTTAACCATACAAGGGATAAAAGCAATTACAAAAGAAAATTAGATAACTTTCATTGCGTGAAACTGAAAAGCTTCTGCAAAAACAAAATTACTGCATCTGGGATAAGCATTGTAAAGTGGTCAAATAGAAAAAATATATACATATTTGCATCAGATTTCTCTGATAATGGTTTTGTATTCAAACTATAAAATCAATTAACATATAAAAGGTGTCTTAAAAAGTCTTAGTATAGTTTTAAGGACAGCTAGTTGGCACAGTGGACAAAGTGTTGGGCCTAAAGTCAGGAAGACTCATTTTCCTGAGTTCAAATCTGGCCTCAGACACTTATTAAATGTGTGACCCTGCACAAGTCACTTAATCCTATTTGCCTCAGTTTCTCCATCTGTAAAAAATAAGCTGGAGAAGGAAATGGCAAACCACCCCATTATCTCTGCCAAAAAAACCCAAATGGGATCACAAAGAGTTGGACACAACTAAACAACAATTGAACAGTTTTAAGCTTTAATAAGTTCAGAAATTTAAATGCTATAAATGTACAAAAACATTATTTGAAATTAATTATTTAAATTTCCTTTTTACTTAATTTTGTGATTTTGAGTAACAAAATTATAATTTTCATTTTAACAAGACAGGTCATCTTGTCATTATTGTGTGTGTGTGTGTGTGTGACAGTTTCTGAATGACACATTTTTAGACAAGAGGGATTCTTGCTTGGCTACCTGGTGACCTGATCTATCTCCACTGAAGGTTTTCTTGCATGTTCACGTCAAAACTGTCACATATACAGCAAATCTGTTTTGGATGTTTTTAAGGCTAGGAATACAAATGAAATCTGCCCAGTCACTGAATGTCAATCGATACAAGTAAGAAAATTTACCACAGTGATGTTTAGCACAAGACAATAATGTTGAATTTTAATAAGAAATGCAATTATTTAATGAAACTTTCAAAAGATTTTTTTCTAAATATGTTACATTTATACTTCTGAAGTCCTTACAGCTTAAAACTGCACTGATCTTCTAGAATTTGTACATACACACATATATGCACATATGTGTATATATATGTTATATGTACAAAGACATATGTCTATATATGTATAGAATACACACAAATAATATCATAAGCTATTTGCCAATAGTTAAGTTGTCAAAGGAAAGAAGTAATTAGCATTTATATAATGCATACTATGTGCCAGGAACTTTTGCCAAATACTTGACAAATATTGTCTCCTTTAATTCTCATGACTCTGTGATGTAGGTACTACAGTTATCTTGAGTTTCTAATTGAGGAAACTGAGGTGAACAGAGGTTGAGTGACTTGCCCAGGGTTACAAAACTACTACGTTTCTGTAGCCATATTTGAACTCAGGCTTTCCTGTCTCCAGGCCCAAACCATTGAGCTGCCTAACAGTCTCCATCTTGGGTGACCCCGGCATGCATCAAAGCTTGGTCGTATCAAATGATATGAACAAGCAGTTCTCTAAAGAACTGCAGACTATTAACAACCATATGAAAGAATGCTCAAAATAATAAGAGAAATGCAAATCAAAAGAACCTTGCGGTATGACTTCATACCCTGCAAATTGGAAAAAATTGGAAAAAAAATGAGAATAATCAATGTTGGAGAAGTTGTGTGAAAAGAGGCATACTAGCACATTGTTGGTGAAGCTGTGAATCAATACAACCATTTAGAAAAGCAATTTAGAATTATATGAACAAAATGACTAAAATGTCCATAACCTTTGACACAGAGATTCCACTACCAGGCTTATATCCCAAGGAGAAAGTCCCCATTTGTGATAGTAAATAATTTTTTAAAAAGATGCCCATCAATTGATGAATAGCTAAATACATTGTGGTACAAGAATGTAATAAAGCATGATCATGCTGTAAAAATTGATGAATGTAATGAATACATTGAAACAAGGAAAAAAGACTCATAAACTGATATAGAGTGAAGTAAGCAGAGCCAAGAAAACCATATACACATGACTATAACAATGTAAACAGAAAGAAAAACCACAAAACATTAAAAGTGTATGTTGAAAAATTACAAAGAAACAGGGCTCCAAAGAAGAAATGGGAGGAAGATACTACCCGTCATCCTACACCTTTGCAAAGATGAGAGGTCAATGGTATGGTACATTGCAATTTATTACAGGAATTTTTTTAGGTATGGATCAGGTTTTTTTCCCTTACTTTTCTGATTTTTAACCTCATTTTCTTTTTTTAAATATTATTTGTAATATGAGATGGCTTTGAGGGTGGGGAGGGAAGGGAGAAGGCTTTTAAAGGAAATTTTGGTAGTATTAAAAAAGACATGAATTAAATGCATTTTTTAAAAGAAAAAGTCTAATACCAAATTGTAGAAGGTCTTGAATATGAGGAATAGTAGTTTGACTTATTCAGTAGGCAATAAGGAGCCACCGATGGTTTTTGAGCAGAGGAATGATACGTGACCTTACTTATGAAAAAGAAAATTTATTCTAACACTGGTAGCAAAGTTGGATTATATAGGGATAGATGAAAAGAGAAATATGGACATGTGTTAGGAGAATATTATAACAGGCCAGATAGATAATAATGAGAGCTTGTACTAATGTATTTAAAGTGGGAATACAGAAAAAAAATGAATGTATGAGAGCAAATGAGATTATTATTGCAGAAGTGAAATAGAGAGGACTTTGAAACTAATTGGAAATAATGAAAAAGATAGAATCAACTATAATCTGAAGGTTTTAAAATTGGAAGAATAGGTAAACGCTGATGCTACAGACAGAAACAATGAAGCCAGAGGGGGGAAACATGTTAAGGGAATAATAATAAGAATTTAGTTTATGACACAATGAATTTTAGTTGTGGGTAGGGGAGAAATAGTCACTGAGTTGGAGGTATCCTGAAGGAATAAAATGCTCCTACCAAGCTGTTTTTCTTCTGCAACATCTAGCACGTCAAGGATTGAATCCTCATCTTAAAGTCTTTTTCTGCCAAACACCATTAACTCGGTCTACGGAGAGTGGCATCTTTTCTCATTCTCAATCACCAGTGGTGATTCTCTCTGTGTGAGAAAACATTGCCAACTATATAAATGAAGTCAAAGAGAAAATAAGATTTGCTTAGCAGTGAAATTCAATGGGATGCATCTATTCCAAAAAGGAGAAACCACTTTTTTACTGGAAATATTTAGGAGGCATCATGATCTATGACATTTTTATAAATCTGTATTTTTAATATGCCTGTTTCTATTAGAAAAGTATGGTTTAGCAATGGGACTCTGTTGCAAGTTGCTTTTTAAACATTGTCTCCTACCACCATTGTCAGATTAGGGGCATTGGCATTACCTATTTCCCTGGTATTTTTCTGGTTTGCCATAAGAAAATATTTCGTCACCAAATGGCCAGCCCACTTATGATACTCCTATATACTTAGCTACATTTGTTCTCATGAAACAGACAGTCATTTGTGAGGTCCAGATGTAAAGCCTTTCTAGGATGGAAGAATCTGCCAGAGTTTGTGTTCGTGACATAGTCTTTGGAAAGGCAGACTCACTCCCTTGACTTGATCAGATGGATGAGTGGGTGGGTGGATAGACACAGACAGAACATTTATTAAGCACTTACAATGGGCCAGGCACTGTGCTAAATGATGGAAATATAAATAAAATAAAAAAGAAAGTTCCTCCTCCTAAGGAGGTAACCTTCTAATGGGCAAAGACAATATATAAAAAGCTAATCTGGGTTTGATGAGCATTGTTGGTATGGATGTTTCCTCAAAATGAAGTCTCTGGGGAGGAACTCACCAATTATAGGAAGCCATA